GTTTTGACGAGTCAAAGTGAATTGAAATCCCTCTCCTAATTTGCCTCCTATCTACTGACCTGTGTCTGAAGGGGATAAACTGCACATGTTTTCCCACAGCAGCTACATGTATTATCTATACTTCGACAACAGCTGGTTGCAGTCTCAAGGCAACAGGATGTTTCTGTTCTTAGCACGACACAGACGCATATCAGGGAAAAGAGAAATATATCACACACACTGTTGACTCAAGTTCAGCTCACAGTCAACTAAATCCTTTTTCCTCATTAAAAAAAAGCAGATTGTAGCTCTCCCATTAGAATATCCTGTTCATGTTCTAAACAGGCAGTAGATTCTCAGGCTTCACCCAAGAGTGTGTACAGACCACGGGGAAGTATTGTCTACTCTGCCCTGATCAGCGAACATGGAGAGTAATGCATTTAATTCTGGGCCCCAGCCATTATCTGAGTCATTGACAGAATTAAGCCACATCCAGAGAAGTGTAAACCGAGCTAATGAGGATTTGAAAACATGTCTTATGAAAAAAAAATTAAGAGAATTGAGAATAATTCACCTAGAACAAGAAGAGAATGGGAACAGCATAGTTCCAATATTAGAAAATCTGCTTCATGGAACAGAGATTGCTGATTCTGTCTGGTTCTGAGGGAGAATCTGGGAAGTTAGAGGAAGGCAGGATTTGACATTGTTACTTTCTAAAGACGACAGCTATGCAAATATGAATCAGTGGCTTCCTGGGAAAACAGCAGGTGGCCCATAAACATGTCTTGAAAGGGTGTGAAATAAAAGTTTAAAGAACTGGTCCAGGCGACTCAGGGGTTCCTCACGATAGTGGTTGTGGCCCTCATGTTCTTCACCAACATGGCTTCCCCATGTCAGCAGGAGTGGAAACCAGGTTGCAGGAACTGAGGACAGAATACATGATGCCCAAGTGGGCAAGAAATGTAAAATGTCACCCATGGAAGGAAACCACGGTGGAAGACTGGAAAGATAGAAGGGCAGGGAATGGGAAGAGCCAGGCTCTCCTCTAGGCTTTACCAAAGGAGTGACCTGGATGTTGAAAACTCCCTGAAGTTCAATTTCCTCATCTGCAAAATCAGGGCACTGGATCCGATAACTGCAGTCTTGAATATCTTCTTTTCTTTTCTTCCTGGTTCTGGCGACTGTCAGTTTCTGGTGAGGCCGCCCTGCCTGTGTTGTGGTAGCTGCCATCTCGCTTGCACATCTGTATTTCTCAACTCTTAGGCACTAGTTGAAGTATCCAAGAGATATATTGAGTAACTTAAAGAAGTGTTTTAACTTAATAAGAAATATAAATATTAAAATGCGTTCATTATAGTTAATTTTAAAGAATTCTACTACCATAAATAAAGGGTAGGACAAGGAAGGGAAAGAAAGAAGCCACTACAATAAAAACCAAAAAAATCAACCCCAATGTTAAGGGAAGGCGCCAGCCTCACTTTGGACTACTATGAGCTCCCTCTCCCTCTCATTTTCCCTTTAAACATCTTTAATCTTTTTTCTGATCCTATCTTTCTGTCTTTACCCCTTTCTCATCTCCTCCATCTCATCCCCCACCAATATGGTTTAACTTTCACTTTTGCTGAAAGCTCTTCTCTGGCCAGGCTATAAAAAGCAGTTAGGATAGATCTCATTAGCCTACTTATTTTTTTCTTACACTGTTTGCATTTGAAACTGTCTTATGAATTTGTTGACTTTCACCAGCCATCCTCACACAGTTGACTATAGTATTGAGGAAAACAGGGCTCTTAACTGTGTTGTTCCCTGAGGGATATTCAGTCTCTTTACTAGAGCTTAGCCTGGAACAATAGTGACAGATGGGCAGATGGAACGGAGGAGACAGTAACACCTTGGTCTTGACTGGCAGAGGTTAAGATACTGAAATAGTAACATCATTAGTGGGCAGTTTCCTCTTCATGGACTACAGTGACAAGTTTGTTTTTGTTGATATTGTTGTTTTAAGTCCACTGTAGAAGCCAGCCCAGCCAAAATCTCCAGATCCACTGCTCTGTTTTCAGGCATGAACTATATGCTGGAGTTTAGCCATCAACATATGAAAGGTCAGAACTTTGTGAAATATTAATACATAGGCTTTAAAAACAAGGGAAATAATATTGATCCAAAACATCCGATTTGTAGTCACTCAACTTTGTGAAGTTTTATGAATGTGTAACACAGGTCTGTCTCCTTGACATTTCAGCCAGAATGTACTGGGCGGTAAGTTTAAAAAGCATCCAAGAAGGAGGGGGAAGAGAATTAAGCTCATTTCTCTAAAGAAATATCATACAGCACGATTGTTTGGTTTTATTCCTCTTGGCAGATCATTTGAAATAATTTGATACTCAGCCCATGGATTTGAAATGTTTTGAGAGCACAGTCTCAGCATCCAGTTAATTCAAAAATAAATCGTGTCTGAGACTACTGCTGGTCTGTCTAGGATAGCTGCAGAATATACTGCTGTATGCAACATTAACTCAGTAGCTAAAAAATATCAAGATATTAAAAAAAATCAAGATATGTTTCTAAGGCTTTGGGAGGTATTGTTTCACCAGCTCCTATTGATTTCATTGTTATTATTTTATTCCTGGAAATAAAATACATTACATGGACTGTATATAACTTGACTTGGGAGGTATTGTTTCACCAGGTCCTATTGATTTCATTGTTATTATTTTATTCCTAAAAATACATTATATGTACTGTATATAACTTGACTCTATGTCTGCCAGGCAGAAGTCTAGTCTCTGTCCTTAAGGCTGTTATAACTGAGAAACGAAAAAACAGTCACACATATATTGAGATGCAAGGAATATCATCTTGCCAAGCACAGCTTTGCTTTAAAACTAAAGGAAATCATATAACCAGGGTGGCGCCTGTGGCTCAAAGGAGTAGGGCGCTGGCCCTGTATGCCTGGAGGTGGCGGGTTCAAACCCAGCCCGGGCCAAAAACTGCAAAAAAAAAAAAAAAGTAAAGAAAATCATATAACCAAATCTATTGAAAGAGTAATTAAAGGGATTTAGTTAATAATCAGTAGAATTTTTCCATTTTCTAGAATATTTAGAAGACCGTTAACCTAATAATCTCAAATATTTCTGGGACTCTATCTTAAGCTATAAGCAATATTTTACTGTAAATAACACTCTTTGAAAGTAACAAAGTTCTATAGTATCGAGCAATACAGTGTACCCCAAGGATCAGGTCTGTTCCAAATATCAGGGACCCTTTTAAGTACAATAATACTTCATGGTGACAAACATTTGTAATACTCCGTCAGAACCTCATTAAATATTTTAGACATTGAGGGGGAAATGGAGTCATAACAATGGCATAGTATCCCAAAGGAATTAGTATATCTCAAAACAATTCTTATTCTCCAAAGTAACCTTGTCAAAATAGGACTAGCTCTTCAATTGCATAACTCTGTTAAACCAATCATAAATTCAGCTCACTTGAATAATTTACCCAGTGTTAGCTTAATTAATTGGCTCCCTGATCAACTTCATCTGACAAACCAATTATTCACATCTGAAAGACAATGCCTCTGTAATACTAAACAATCTGCTCTAGCTGTTTAAGACATAGAGAGGGGGCGGCGCCTGTGGCTTAAAGGAGTAGGTCACTGGCCCCATATGCTGGAGGTAGTAGTTTCAAACCCAGCCCTGGCCAAAAACTGCAAAAAAAAAAAAAAAAAAAAAAGATAGAGAGCACAGTAGAAATAGATTAAATCTAAAAACTTTCCCTAGTCCCTGTTCTTTGGGAGATGTCTTTTGATGGTGGTTGAGGGACTTAGAAGAATCAAAAGAAATGTTTCCAAAAATTAAATAGATAAATAACTGGTCTGACTCACAGTCATCACTTTCATCCCGTGAATAACCATCACCAAAGTCAAGCCCCTAACCTGCTACCCTTCTATGGCTAATCTCAGGCTTTTGTCAACAAAGATTTTCCTCGTTGAGGTTCTTTGAAAGCTAATTTCGCCCCAGTAAATAGACAGATGGGAAGATGGCAATGTGAATCAAAAATGATGGCTTCCCTCAAAAAGGCCTTCCCTGACTCCATGACAACCCTCATTACATTTTTGGGTCTGCAGCATCTAACTGCGCTTTCCCTGTTTTTTTGCGTAGCTGTTGTTGTTGTCTTCCACTCAATGCCATAACCAATCCTGATACCTTGCCCAAGACAGGGAGTTTTGAAGATTCCTCGTACTAACTGACTTGATTTGAACCCAAGAATAGTGGAGTCACGATCATGTAACTCTAGATGTTTAATAAGAAGCATTCGCTACTCTGCAAGCACGAGTACGTCCATAAGTGTATGTCTGCATTGTACAGAATTGAGACTAAGTAAATATGATAGTTTATGAAACCGTTATTGTGTGGAAGCTTTTTGTAAAAGTATTTCAAAGAGAAAGAAACTCGAAGCAGGAAACACTGGCAAGGACACAGCTTGAAGCAGCAATGGATCAATGCCCCCCATGCAAGGAAACCTGTCCCCTGCATGAACTGAAAACGTCCCTCACTTCCTTTCTTTCCCATCTTTTTGTACTATATTCCAGAAGATTCTTCCAAAAATATTCTCTCACAAGCATTTTAAATGTCTAACCACAAACAATTATTAGTATGTCACAAATCATTCCTTTGTACTCTGAAGAAAAGAAGAGTAATGTAATAAATTTTCTCCAGGATAATTAATTGGAAAACAGTAAATATATAGCGCTAGTCACTGCTGTTGTATTTCTTTGTCACTGCACATTTCTTTGTGAAATATATATTTAATATTCATGTCAAATGTTTTCTTGGCACCAGGTCAGTATCTCCTCAATGAAGAGCCCATTGATGATGCAGAATAGAACTTCTCTTCCCCTTGAGTAAAAGACTGCCTATTATCCAGTGTCCCCTTTGTCACACTGAAGAACAGGGAACTTTTTATTCTTTCCAAGAAATGGCCTTTCAGATGCAGTAACAACATGTTCTGTTCCTCAGGAAATAAGGGAAGATCGAGATCGGGCGCGGCTGGACTCCATGGTGCTGCTGATTATGAAACTGGACCAGCTCGATCAGGACATCGAGAATGCTCTCAGTGCCAGCTCCTCCCCATCAAGCACACCCACCAACCTGCGGCGCCATGTTCCCGTGAGCTTCCCACTTTCTACTTCTGTGCCCCTGAGAATCATAGCTCTGCTCTGCACAGTCCCTCTTGTAAATGGGACATCATTCTTAATGGCATCCACCAATATTTGACCCTCATAGAGCCCTCAAAGATCACTCAGATACTTCTACATTTCATGCAGAAATTCTGTAAAGAAATGAGTGATGTGTGATGCAAAAGAAAGATTATCATGAAAGAGGAAGAGCGGTGATCTTGGGAAATGATCCTTGCTAATGGCGAACTCTTCCTTACTTGTCAGTCTTCTCTGATATGATGTAAAGTCCATTATCAAGTATCATGAATACCTTGTTTAGTAATTTACTTTCAGTGTTCCACAAATTTACACTGTGTGTAGAAGACACTACTACACCTCATATATTTGCTACAAGGGTGGATGAATAGATGGATGACTGTGAGGGTGGATAGGTGGACATGGATGTTCACTGAACTAAACCAGCATACTCTAAGAAAGAATTTTTTTTGAGACAGAGTCTCAAGCTGTTGTTCTGGATACAGTGCCATGGCATCACAGCTCACAGCAACCTCAGACTCTTGGGCTTCAGTGATTTTCTTGCCTCAGCCTCCCAAGTAACTTGGCATACAGGCGCCTGCGACAACACCTGGCTATTTTTTTTATTGTTGTTGTTGTAGTTGTCATTGTTGTTTTAGCTGGCCCAAGCCCAGTTCAAACCCACCAGCCTCAGTATATGTGGCCAGCACCCTACCCGTTGAGCTATAGGTGCCAAGCCTAAGAAAGAACTTAGGTGAGATTAACTTGAGAACACTCTAAAATTCAATCAGTGAAATACAATAGTTAGGACAGAGCTCAGAATTTTATTCAACTGTGGAGCAATTTGATAGTGAGACAGACACTCCTCTGAGAGTCGCACACTCAAAATTTGAAAGGCATAGATTCTAGGATTGACTGTACACTTGACATATTTAATATTAGCCTCATATTAAATGGCTTAGTTTGTACAGATTTAGCAAATGTGATGGTAGAGTTTACTTATAATTAAGCCATGAATCCCTTTTTAATTCATCTACTACTTATATTGTACAAAATTTTCAGTCAATAAATTTATATTAACCTGAGAGCAAGTAAGTGGAAAATCATTTATGTAAATTTGTGTCCCTGCTGAAATAGAACTATATTATATCAATGTCTTTGGTTAGGGTAATATGACTGTTGATTCTAAAGTGATTCAAAAATCATTCTGACCATGGGGCAGAATATTTCAAAGTAAATGAAGAGACTATAATTATAAATAACTTTAGTATAAAGTAGGTACTATTCTAAGTGTACTACATAAGTTAACACATTCATTCATGTGTTAGGAAAAAATGTTCTTCATAGCATTTTTTTCAGATGAGTAAAAGGCATAGACTAGCTCAGTTATTGCGTGTGCCAGAGTTGGCATGTAAACCCAGCTCGTTTTAATCCAAAACCATGCCATTTAACTACTACACCCTACCCCCATTCTCTAGCCAATTATAATGGGAATCTGATAGCTTAAGCAAAATACAATAATTAATTAAGAACAAATAAATATGACACTAAAGACATCAACCTAGAAATCCAGTATAAATGAAAATTTTCTTTTTGTTTGTAACCTTCTGGATAATTTTTTCTTACCCTTCAGGATTCATTTCAAATACCTTCTTTACAGTGAGTCGTCCCCAAATCCCTGGTGCTGCCATGGCATCTTACACGTTCGGTAGTTTTAGCAAGTAGAACAGGCATCCAAACACAGGAAACATGATTGAAGTAATATCTTGAAGGCAGAGTGTATAGAAGTTTCACACTCATTTTCATCGATGCTTTCAAAGCCAAGAGTAATCACATTTTTCAACAGGAGGTACCGTTTAGTACTTCTTTGCCATTAATGGGATACATTCTTTTCTTTAGAAGATTTATGGTATGAATTATTGATCTTGTTTCTTTTAAATCTCCCCTCTCTTCCCCTTATGTTCAACTTTCCTTAATCTCTATAGATTTAGACTTAATCTACAGCTCACATTTCTGCTAAACACGGGTCCCTACTGTCATTTCCATCTCAGCAGGGAAGACACCCCTTACCTGCGAGATGTGGTGCTTTGTTGAAGGCCAAAGGCAAAACCTAAACAGAAGCTGACATAAGGGATGACTTTAGGATTTGTCTCCATTGACATTGTCTGCCCTCCATTGAAACTGTCAACTAACTCACAAAACATCACCACTATTGTTGGTTCTGTAAATAGAGATATATTTGAAATAGCAAAATAATACAGTGGAAACATTAAGAACTTCGGAGTCTGAGATCTGGGTTCAAAGGCCAGCATTATAACTGACTATCTGGGAACATAAGAAAATTATCTAATTTCTCAAGTTCAGGTTCACATAAAAAATAAATATATTATTTCCTGATTAATGGCTTGTAAGGAGAAAGAAATGAAAGAACATTAAGATGTATTGCACAAATATAGCTCAAAGTGCATATTGAGTAACTGTTACTTCTCTTCCCCTCCCCTCTGTACTGTCCTAACTCACTCAAAGCACCAGGCTGAAGATGAGTAAGACGGATCTGACAACGCTCAAAACTCCTTTTTGATCTTGGTATTTTTCTAGGCCATCTCTTGTTCCTTCTTTCTGTTCCTTGTTATTTAAAGCTCATTTTAACATTTCTTTAATCATCAAATTTTTTTCTACAGGCATTTTTCCACTCCTTTTGATAATTGTCCTATTGAATAAGAGGATTATAATGGCATAATTATGATCTTGATCATCCACCAAGGAGTACTCTCCCAGATTCAGAGGGCAAACTGCCTCTGCCCCACCCTCAAACTCGATTGTGAATTTGTAGTTTAGCAGGAAGGACAAAGCAAACACTAGACAGTGTCCCCCTGCAAAATTTGAGAATACAATACAACCTCTGTAGTTGACTACCTCCCTACATTGAGCACCTCCTTAAGTTGACCTAATTTCCATAGACCAGACATGTACCACATGTCCACATATCAGCACAGTAGACCTACTTCCTTATGTTGACCCCCTCTGTATGTTGACCAGTTTGTTACTGTCTCTTGGGTGGTCAACTTACAGAGCTTCTACTGTATTTATGAGAAAATGCCAGAATGAGTCCTACATCTAATGAAGGGTATAAAGAATAACATAGTCTTTAAGAACAATTTGAACATGAAAATAACATATTGAAATAAAAGTAAGGGTAAAGATTTAAAGGAGTTTTCCTACATAGAGCCTTAAAAGTTGACTGTACGTTGCTGGATCCACCACCAACAGCCCAAGATCCGTTTGATTTATTTTCTTGTGTGGCTTTATTTTCACCCACAGTGCACCCTTTTGCTAGAGCTGAGTAGGAAAGCCTGTCCTATGAAATGAACAGGGGTGGGGATGAAGGCATAAGTGAGTGTTAACCTTTATGTATGTTACTTTATTTTTCCTCTTGACAACTTTAAAATGTGAAAGCTGAGCTTCAGAGAGGATGAGTAATTTACTGAAGGTCACACAGCTGGTAAGATTTACTTCCAAATCTATCAGCCTCCAGAACACATGCTCATTCCACTAAACATGTATTGCCGACCATCCAGGATGCAAATTTCCCTTCTAAATGAGATAGGTAGTGTTTTCACAACCAGAATTCCCTTGTCATCAGTCAGGATATTTTCTTCCTAACAGCAAAGTATTTCCGAAGTTTGAGTTTCCAGTTGTTTTTGAGTCAACATGTAATGAAGAGGATATTGAAAATCCTCTGGGAGATTTCATCTATGCTGTAGGAAAGCTTAAAAAACTATAGGCCAGAATCACTTCACTACCTTCAACTGGACTTCCAGCACTGTTCTACAGAACACTCCCATCTCCCCTGAAGCTTCTCCTATATCCCTAGGCAGCGATTACAAAATGTTGCCATTCTCCTCAAACCTCTACCCACTCCTTGGGCTTATCTCTTAGCATCCTCATTTCTTATCATCTGTGTGTTCCTCTTCACATAGAAGATGAAAACTATCCACAGACTTCCCAGCAACACACCCACCAAGACCTGTAGGTGCCCCTTTACTTCTTTCTTTCTTCCTCCATCAATCAAAGAAATGTGGCACCTGCCATCTAAAGCTGACCTCCGCATTCATTTCCGTTCTCTCCCACCCCCTGCTCCACAAATTTTTCATCTTCTCTGGCGGTCAAATCCCACTGCTCTCTTTCTATTGGTTCCCATCCTTTTTCTCTTTGGCATGTACATGCTTCATACTCTCCAGCACTACCACGTGCCTATTAAATAACTTTCCATTGTTTAAGCCTGCTGTGTTAGCATAGAGGGAGAAGAGGGAGGGATGGGGAGGAGAGATTACTCCTTTTCATTGCAGACAATTAAAAACAAAACCAAAAAGCTTCCCTGAACCTTGTTCCACGTATTTCCCTTTTCTTTCTGAGCAAGGCTTCAGTTTCCTCTTCCCCTCCTATTTCTTCCTTGATTTAATCCTTGGGTAGCAGCCTGTTGTTTCTCCACCCCCTTCTCCTATCTGGCTAATCTAGTCGCACCTGCATGGTCCTCAGCTGGTAGAGCAGTGGTTCTCAACCTTCCTACTGCTGTGGCCCTTTAATACAGTTCCTGTGGGTCACGACCCAGAGGTTGAGAATCGGTATGGTAGAGTGTCCTCTCCTCCCTCACTTTCACTCCTTCCTTGGTTCTGGCTCCTCTTCTTTCTTCCCTTTCATCTTCCAGGCCCTTGCCTCTTAAATCTTATATCCAGATTCTATACTTAATCCTCTCTACTGTTTGACTGTGAATATGTTCCCTAGGAATTACCATGGATTCTGTTGCCTTCTCCATAAGGAAGGTCACCAGTGAGACCTTTTTTGTGATCTCCAGCTCTGAATATCCAGTGATCACAAGATGCACGTTCTTTTGTGTCACAATTGAACTGCATAAGCTCCTCTGCCATGGCCCATACCCCACTGGGTTTCCTCCCACACTAAGCGTTCCTCTGAGATCTTTACTTTCTCACTGCTGGGCATAGTTGGAAGCACAGTACAGCAGGGACGCATAGAGTATTTAAGAAAGTGGTGTGTAGGGTAAAAACACAATAAATGGTAGATTTTTTAAAAAATTAATTGTTCAACCTTGGAAGCATTGCACAGCTACCAGATGAAAAATTACTCTATTATTTACCCAATTCACAAACAGAAAGGCAAAATTAATGCAAAAGATTTTGGATACACATAAAAGCTTATAAATTATTTGTTACTTATGACTGTGCATTCAGTGCTTATGAATTACCTGGTAATTATGACCATCTGTGAAATGTTGATTCAATTTGAAATTTTAATGAGTCATATTTTTCTTAAGGTATAATATTATTAGTGTTTTCTATGCAAAAGTAATAGATGCACTGATATAAAATCACTCCCGACATCAGAAAAGTTTCAGTTACGTAATTCATTCATGCACACACACACACATTTAAAGAGTGTAGTATTTTTTGTTTTGTGTGTCCTTTGTACACTTCCAATTAAAGAAAATGTAGTTTCAATGCTCTTGATAGTATATTGTTTCATAACAGAAGATATAACTACTTCTATTGTGACAACCAAGAAAAAAGAGATATTAATATTTGTCAGTCAGTCTAGTTGTTCTTTTATTTAACTATGTTTAATGATCATCTTTTATACACCAGACACTATTTATTCTAAGATCTTGGGATATGTCAGTAAAAAATACAGGTGAAGTCCCTGATTTTGTGATGCATAGATTCTAATAAAGAGAGACAGGCAAGGATTATAAAAAGAGGTGACTGAATAGGTGGATAGGTAGTAGGTAGATTGATAGACAATTAGATGATAGAGATAGGTAGATAGATAGATGACAGATAGATAGATAATACATAAATATTATAGGTAAATGAACAAAGTAATAGGATTTAAAACAGGGAATGAAAGGAAAAATGAGAAAACAACTTTGGCTTGAAGAGACAACCAATGCTTCTCTAAGATAGGATGTTCAAGCTGAGATCTGAGTGACATGGAAAGGCCCACACAGAGGAAACCAGAGCAAAGAATGAGAAAGGGCATGGGGCATTGTCCCTGCTGTAGAAACCAGGTTGGCATAATAGAAGAACTGACAAAGAGCCAATGTGACTAGAGAGTAATAAACAAGAGACTGGCAAAGGACAAGGCCAGAGAGCTGGGTGGCAGCACAGGTGATATTTTGACCATATGGATCATGGTAAAGCTGAGATGTAGAGATATAGCGAGAGATTTAACTCATGATTTTCTCAAGTTAAAAGCATAGTGTGATGTGTGCCTTTGCTCCCCTCCCTCTGCATCAGCCCCACTCCCACCTGTGCTCTGTGCAGTCAGGTCACCTATAACTTAAAGAGAGAATTTGATTAATTCAATGCACAACCTTTACAATGGTTACCAAATAATTGCATCCACTCAACAGACATGTCTTGACATCATGTTGTGTAGCAGTTACTAAGAGGACATAATAACATTAATAGTGGCAATATCTATATAAATGGATAACATTTAACAAAAATTAGGTGTGGCAATTCCATGGCACTTTGCATATATTTCCCTTAATCTTTATAAAACTCTTTGAGTGCATATGATTATGATGCCCATTTTCAAATGAAGGAATTGAATCACACATGGCAAAGCTTAACTCTTGCCCCCAGAGAGTTTCATTAATAGACATACATGTGAGCTAAACGATTCTAGGTCATTGTAGTAGGGTCAGCAGGGAGGTCAAATGGGAACAGGGAAGAGATTGAGGTGAGAAGAAATGAGAACCTTCTTATTCGACATCCATAATGTTTCTGTGAAGACGTCTTAGCAGCACTTTGTTCCCTGAGGTGTGTTGAGTGAGTTCCTCAAGGTCACGGTGAGGAAGGTGTGTTTACCTGCTTCTACCTCTTCCTGCAGCTACCTCCCACCATTGAACCTCCCAGTTCACTCTAAGCTGTTAAAGAATGTAGTACTAAGCTGTAAGTAGTATGCTACCTCTTTCTCAAGCATTTGCAGAATTTCTGAAGAGTACCATTGTTATTACAAAATAGTATACAATTATGGGTAACACATCATTGTCAATTGTCAACAACTCTTTGTAGTATCAGTGTATGCTGGGAGAAAGATCACATGGAAAATTGCCAGAGGGAGGGAAAGGGCGCCACTCACACATCCTTCATACCAATGCATTTGTTTTTCATAGGATCTGGAATCAGGATCTGAAAGTGGAGCAGAAACCATTCTAGCAAATCAGACACAAGTAAATCTGTCTTCTAACACCGAGTCCACTGACCTACCATCTTCCACCCCAGCAGCCAGTTCTGGAACCAAACCCAAAGCTATGGTAAGTTCTAAATGACAACAAGTGTGAATGATTATCAGCTAAGAGTGGCTGTCTCATCCACTCAAAAGCAAAGAAATTCTCCAGAGCCTGAGATACAGTAACTTGATAGTAATTAATTTACTTGATTTTATACAACTCCAGAAATGTTTTGGGGTTTTTTTTTGTTTGTTTGTTTCTTTGTTTTATAAATGGTAACACGAGTACTTCACTACAGTAGGTCATGGGTCCACAACTATTCAAAACATGGTAATTCAGTTTTGTTAGTGGCTATTCAGAGCTATTGAGAAACAGGTGCACTAAGTCTGGAGATGTCTTCCCTTGACTATTACTCTGACCACACTGCTTTGGCCTCAAGGGTCAACCAACACTTCTCTATCTAAGATAGGGATGTTCAATCAGAGATCTGAGCACCACGAAAGGGCCAGCACAGGGGAAACCAGGGCAAAGGAAGAGAAAGGGCATAAGGATAGTCCCTGCTGTAGAAACCAGTCAGAAAATTGTCTCTCTAAGCTTTGAAGACAAATAGATGATGGATGATGATGACAGACAGACAGTGAGAGATATGATAGAAATAGATTTTAGACCGATAGATACATGATAGACAGCTAAAGAGTGGGAACAGAGAAATAAAATCACCCACAGCATAAATTTCTGTGGATATCAAATAACATAACATATGAAAAGTGGTTAATGAAATATTTGGCACAGAATAAGTACTAAACAAATGTAAGTTACTGTCATTATGATGATGATGCTTCAAAGAATTTACAATGCTACCAAAGCAAATTAAAAAGAGAAATACCACATGAAATAAAGCAGCATAGTAAATTGTGAATGAGAGACATTTTCCTTTAAGTCAAAAGTTGAACTGCAACAGGAAAAGGAGTATTTGACCCTACAAGGTAACATTTATGGAGGAAGTAATTACTACTTCAAATATCTGAAGTCCCAGTAGCTCCAAAATAACCTTTCTTAGTTTAGTGAAAATCACAGTGTGGATTACTTTTTCTAAATGCCCATGTTAGCTTAACACAGAGAAGTAAGATTGGATTGCTTGTTTGACTGCCTTTAAAATAAAAGGCATTTCCAAAATAGGACTCAAAAGACAACATTCTGAATTTAAAACATGGTCCATTTCCTGCAATTGCAAAAAGAATGAAAATAGATCATTTCAATAGCAGATAATGCTCGACTTTAATATTTATATAGAAATTAAATCCCCTGTTATTTATATCTAGAGCACTTGTGATAGAATAAACATTGAGCATCTACTGCAGGCATCCTCAAACTATGGCCCATGGGCCACATGCAGCCCGCTGAGGACATTTATCTGGCCTGCCGCCGCGGGGTGGGGGTGGGGGGCACTGCTGCCTGTCCTGCTTAGCAGCCGACTCGTCCCAGGGCCTGCAGTCTGACCCTCCAACGCTCTGAGGGACAGCGAACTTGCCCCCTGTTTAAAAATTTTGAGGACCCCTGATACTGTATGCAATGCAGTATTCTAGGTGAAAAAGGCTTGGCAAGGTAGGAAATGCATACTCCATCTTTAAAGCAGCTTACCTTCTGACAAAGGGAAGTAAGCCTGTCAACAGTTAAATGCAAGGAAATGCTGTGCAGACCGTGGCAGGACTGTGCATACTGGGAATGAGGAAACCAGCAAGAATCTGTATAGTGCTGTTTGGAGGTAAATGAAAGAAACAGGGTCAACAATGTTGTGTGTCCACAGACAGAATGTGATGGGACATTGCTCTTCTTTTTCACTGCATTTTCAATGCATTTCATTCATTTTGTATTTTAAGTAAGATTTAACCTTTAAGTAAGATTAAAATGCAAAATGAAAATATGAAAGCTGATGTGTCATTTTACCATATTCTTATTTAGGAAAAATATTGTTTTAAAGAAAACCCTCTCAACAGTTCTAACATGAAGGTTTTGAGAATCGATGAAATGTTGCCTTTTATAACACTTTGAAATCACTTTTTAAAGCACCTACTATGATCCTACGGAGCAGTCCTTTTCCTACTGACATTGATTCCACATTCATGCTTTACTCCAGGGTAATTAATTACCTATGGGTCCATTTCTTATCCCCAATAAACATATATATTTCAGTGTGTGAGCACCTGAGAATTTCTAACAATATACACAACCCTACTGTGTGCATGGTACTTAGTCTTTCTTCACCATCCTCTTGTCTATAAATGTGGCTGATACTGTTACACAGAGGTATGCACTTACTTTTTATGGTAACCAAATTTGATAAAATTTTGTGATGAGAAACATAAACTCATCAGTTTTCTCAGAACTTCATTCCAGGAGAATGACAGATTCTTTGTTTAAATTTTCCGCATTTCTCCATATCAACTGACCAAACTATTCAACCCAGAATCACCACTAAGAAATACTTAAATCACTTTATTAAACAGAAAAAAATATTTGTATGCACCCAGAATCAAATATTTACTGAAAATGTGTTAACTTGGAAGAAAACTGGATGTGAATAGTACCCAGTTGTTCAGTGAGCAGTGAGAAACGTTATGTAGTTGGTTCAGTCTCCAAACATAATATTCCACTCCAAGATAAGTAAACACTACATTACAATCCTTACCAATACCATAGGTAAGTTTAGACAACTGGATGTACAACTTTTCCAACTACTGAACTAATTTTGTAAAATTCTCTAGCAGGCCATGAAACATATCCAGAAAGAAATACTCAGTTGTCCAAGACAACTGACTTTTAGGTAATTTCTTAAAGAAAATTGTCAATTAGAAGAGTAGCTTGAAAAATAGGCTTTGTTTTGGGGGAAAGGATTGTTTTAATTTGTATCTTGCCTTTGCTTCTTTCTTGTTATGTATATTGCTAATCTTTGGGTTATACTCTTTTCACTACAGTTTGAGAATAATTCTTGACATATGGATCAATTTTATGGTTGGGATATTAGAATGAAGAATCGTATCTATCAGAGAGTAAACAGCTACTTTCCCCCACAATTTGGGCCTTACAGAATAGATGACATGTAATGGCAATCTTGATAATTTGTCAAAAGAGAGAAAACCCTACAGCAGTGGTTCTCTACCTTCCTAAGGCCGCGATGTATTTACATTGTTACCAAGGGGTCTCGACCTACAGGTTGAGAACCGCTGCTCTAGGGAGTTATTCTTATCACTACAAACAAAAATTTCAATTTTTATATTAAGTAGAAATATGAAATTCTAAGAACTCTCACCTATCCTGAACCAACCCTCTGTTCCATAATGTCACATGTCTGCTTTTAGTTTGCAATTATTTAATGTTACATTTGATTTGCTGCTATAAAAATCTATTTGTATCAGTGACTACAGTAACTATCACAAATATGTGGCTTTTCCTTTTGTGTAAGATTTCTGTGTTTGTGAGCACCTATTTCTAGTAAGATTTTTTCTTTTATAGTTGTTAGAATGGGACTAGGGAGGACTCTTCAGGTTTTGCTCTAATTCTATGTATACATCATGCTGGAAATTGATCATTAAATAGATTTCTGAGCTATATCATGCACAAGAATGAAAGAGTTAAAGAGAGACCAGCCACTGCCAAAAAACACATTAGGAAAAAAAAAAAAAAAACTAAAAAGAGGCTATTGCTTTGGAGCTCATCAATGTCTCTCCTAAATTCTGTTTTGTTCCTTTGAAACACTCTCATAATGTTTTTCATGCTAGACTCATCCTCAACCTGAGAGCTTTATCACTTCATATAACATGCTTTTAATTCAGGGCGGCTCCTGTGGCTCAAAGGAGTAGGGTGCCAGCCCCATATGCCACAGGTGGTGGGTTCAAACCCAGCCCTGGCCAAAAAAATAAAGTGCTTTTCATTCACTGCAGAGCCATGTATTGATATCACTGCATCTTTAGCATCTTCAGCAGCTTGACTTGCTCCTTTATTAATTGATATGGGGTTGTTAGTTACCTGGACGACTTTAAAACTAGACACTGAAACCTCCAAGGTCATTTTTTATAATGATACTTGTAACTGTAGATGTTCATTAAATCACTATTAATCATACGTTTATGGAGAAAGATTCCAAGCCCCAAATCATAAGGAAAATAACTGTTTTACTTGTAAAATAATAAACTGGAGAAAAGAGGAGAGTCTAGTGCTCTACTTTGTAGAGTAACTGAGAACATTGTTGAGACCGTGTAAGGAAATAGCGTGCAGTCTTCAATGCATCAAACACTGCCCTGCACTGGGCTTCAGGACTGGCATAAGTTGGCGTGAGATGTTATGACATCAGAAGCAAAATACTGCTGATGGTTGAGTACTCAAAGTGCACAAGAAGAGTTTTACTAGACACTGAAGAGCAATGGTTGGTTCATCAAAGCCTGGTGTAGGTTACATGCTGCTAACTTCATTTTCCAGATCATCTTTCCACCACAAATTTTAGCATATGTTTATATGTATGTATATGTGCATGCATGCATCATATATGTATATACGTCAGATTTTATATACATATATTTGTAGACTTGTGTGCATACATATAACATCAGAGAATATATATATGTAGATATGTATTTGTTTGTATGTGTGTTGTTTTCCAGAAATAGCACATTTTTTTTCCAAAATGCTGTTTTGATGGTATTTTCCAAAAGTCTATGTTGCATAATTATTAACTCTGTGGTTAAATTTTTAATGAAAATGAATTAGTAACCATGAATTTCTTATGTAGGCATACAATTATTATTCAATTTAAAACATATTCATTAATTTGGTATAAGACCATTGCTCAGGCAGTTTATGCACAAAAACCACAAGAGCAGATTTATTTATTTTTAACAAGTGTAAAGTATGGTGTCATCTGTATCTGGGGAAAGAGATGTCAGGTTTGGAATGATCTGGGAATGATTTCAAAAAAAGAAAAGGTTATCAAGTAAAACAGAGGTTTACAGTCACTTTTACCAGTAGTGACCAACTTGTTAATTGCTGCTTCTGAAAAAGGAGGAATTTCATGTAGGGCTGTTTAAAAATAAAAATTATAAAGCCAACAAAATACTGTTGTGATGAGGAGATATTTATTAACAGAATCTAGGACAATCTAATTGGGAGTATCACAGTAATCCACAATGAATTAGCTATAAGAGATTAAAACAAATTCTTAGCCTGGAATTTATGAATGGATTTAGAAGCTTCTCTGAAACTTCTGAAATTATATTTTGAATTACAGAATAATTGAAGTATGCATGCAGTTATGTTTTTATACATAATGTATGGATGTATGTATTTATGCATTTCTGAGATGACTGTCAGTAGCTCCATCAGATATTCAAAGACTCTGAAAATCCCCACAAATAAATCCTACATGTGAGTTCTTACGGTTTAGTCATTTATCCAGTGAAGAGACCAAATGTTGAATATAGGTGGATCTTTGCTGCAAATAAGAAATTTCAGGTACACCGACAGGAATTACTGCATTTGTGTTTATTTTCTGATGGAGCCTCCTACAGTATTCCCTTGGCAATAAAGTAAGCTATGCTTCGGGTATACCTGATGGCTGATTCTTCCATGGAACTATAAAGTGTCCTTTGCATTGGTTCCAATTATACAGCATGTAAATGAAACTAAAACTGATCCAAGAAAGAAAAGAAAACCACCAGGGTTTTCCTAGAAGAGTCCCAATGTAAACAAAGTTTTATGTCTAAATGCAATCACGTATCTTATACATATGATCATTAAACTACACTCATTATGCTTGTGATAATATTAAGGAAGGAATTAAATTGAAAAAAGCATGACAATTCTGGACTTAAGTCACATTTTAAGTGTTATTTAAAACTCAATTCATATGAAAAATTATAGTAATAGCTCTACTTTTTTCTACCCAGTTATTACATCTTTTTGTTTAAATGGTTATTCGGATGAATTTTTTAACAAGGTTGATAATTTTCTATAATGCTATCCACTGTTTAAAACACAATAAAATACTATCTTTTACTCATAGGAACTGTAAATGCTTTCTTTTGCTAATGTCTTGGAAAAAAATTCAAAGTGATACATAAAATTGGCTAGAATTTATATAGTATTCCATGATGTCACATGTGTTATTATTAGTTTTCATATCCTTCGGAAAAAAATAAGTCAACATAGTAAGGGAAAAATGACATGCACAGAATTTTTAAAGAAAGTTTAGTCACTCACGTCTGAAGCAACGAAAAAGGTGAATTAGTACAGCTTACAATTAGCAATTTCAAATAAAAATATGATCATCTTAGAATAATGCCTTTGATTGTAAGACTTTTGAATGTGGCAATTTTATTCCAACATAGTTAAGCACTGACACTTAAGTATGTCACTTTTTAAGAAATATATTTGCCTCTCCTCATGACAACTTTGTTATTTATTAGAAAGGAAAAAAAGGCAAAATTTATAGCTATTGAAAGAAAATCTGATCCACCAGAGAGCTAGAAAAAGGCCTTTTGAAAAGGAAATCATGAGATTATTATAATGAGATTATTGTATGAGATTTTTCTTAGAATTCTATGATTTAAAAGCAGAGAGGATTCTATTCACATATTCTGCACTTTGGAATAATAAATACTATATACTTCCTTAACTAGGACTTTGAAAAATAGAAATATTTTCCATAGCCATTTACTTTTATATTTAAAATAAATTCAAAATTCTCTCATTTCTTATGTTTGAAGACCTGACTTCTGTTTTTAATTCATTTACACGTTAACCCCAGACAGTCTTTGCTGGGACAGGTCACCCCATTTCCACAATGATCCCCTCCTGTACACCTTTTCACTTTGAACCTAGGAGTTTTATTTTGCCAACAGTAAGTATAACTCATGTCCAGATATACCGATCCCCAAAACTTAACTCTATACACATGGTGCTTAAATAATTTGGGGGTTTGGCAAACATGTGTTTTTCTCTTCCTTATGTTCAGTTTGAAATAATCAGGTTAAGTAGGTGTCTGAACAGAATCCCTAAAATCGAAAGAAAGATGTGGATAAATAGAAAACAGGAAAAATAAGACAGTCAGAACTGAAGACATTTCATCAGCACAAGAAACAATATTAAAAATCATCTCTGCAGCTTAAGATCTGGTCACATGAAAAGTACTTTACATGTTAGCATCATTACAATGAGAAAAATTTAGTTTTTCCATGGGCCAATGTGACTTCTCGAACGCAGTTCCTACTTTCATCCAAAAGAAATAACAACTCCCAGTTATTTCTGGGCAATATAAAATGGCAAGCCAACAGCCCGCCACATCACAGCAACCAAGAATATAATTCACAGGACTGAGACGTAATAATAACCCCTAAGCCATTTTCACAGAGTCTTCACTTTTCTTCATTTCAGACCTGGTTGTCTCAAAGCTCTAATTACACAGTCAATATGTCCCCATGTTTCTCTACTTTCAAGCTAACCAGGTGATAATTAAGTCTTCGCCTGGCACTGATGGCCTCTGTGCTCACAATTTTTTTTTTTTTTTTTGAGACAGAACCTCACTATGTTGCCCTCGGTAGAGTGCTGTGGCGTCACAGCTCACAGCAACCTCTAACTCTTGGGCTTAAGCGATTCTCTTGCCTCAGCCTTCCAGGTAGCTGACACTACAGGAGCCCACCACAACACCCAGCTATTTCTTGGTTGTAGTTGTCATTGTTGTTTGGCAGGCCCAGGCTGGGTTCAAACCCACCAGCTCCCGTATATGTGGCTGGTGCCCTAGCCACTGAGCTACAGACACTGAGCCTGTGCTCACTTCTTAAAGACAGTTGTTCAGTTGAAACATTTGACAGAGGATTCCTGGTAATTATACAAAGGGATTCAATGGTAATTATCTAAAGTTAACACAGAGGGCCTTCTTAGCTGTAGTTTCAAGCTGAAAGTACCACATAACAAATTTCTCTAAATGAAAAATTTTCAGTATCAGCCAACCACTTGCATATTCTGAAATTCATAAATCAAAACATTTGGAGTCTCACAATAGAAATAATGATGTAAGGGATTTTTTTTTTTAAGAGACAAAGTCTCACTTCATCACCCTCAGTAGAGTGCAGTGGCATCACAGTTCACAGCAACCTCCAACTCCTGGGCTTAGGTGATTCTCTTGCCTCAGCTTCCTGAGTAACTGGGACCACAGGCCCCCACCACAACTCCTGGCTATTTTTTCGTTGCAGTTTGGCTGGGGTTGGGTTCAAACCCACCACCCTCAGTATATGGGGCTGGTGCCCTACCCAAGGAGCCACAGACACCTCCCAACCTAAGGGTATGTTTATTCCGTTTCCTTCCAGGGTCCCGAGATAGCATTACTTGAAAACTATCTATGTTCTTGACCATTCTGGGTATCTGGTGAATGTTTTGGGTGCGAGTTTCTTTCCTGTTAAAATCAATAATTCTCATGCTCCTTGGATTGTTGTTGCCGCTGCTGGTTCAGTGATTCTCTAGTCTCTCCACGGGAACAAGGTGATGTAATCCAGATGACCTCATAGACTGGTAGATTTTTTCAGAGGAACATCCACTGATGTTCATGAAATCGGTGCTAATTTTTCTTTTTTCACTGTGGATTGCTTTATTTACAGTATTTCTGTTGTTTGTTTGTTCACATTGAAGATGCTACATTAACATACATACTGAAGTAATTTACTGGTAGGCATTTACCAAATTAGTCATAACATGAAATTTGCAGAGAATTATACAAACAAGTGGTAATCCCCAAGTCAATCTGTGATTTTCATACTGTGCATTTGAGGGCGCCTCTGAAACGGCCTGCCTCCACCTGCCCCAGCCAGACTCA